AATAAAAATGTGCAGTAGTGAAGGTCCTTCAGTTCCTCTACACTTCTGTTTGACACGCCTTAGTCCTGTCAGGTATTCAGGAGAGTGTTGAAGTTCCCTGCGATACACTGTTCCTCCGTTTTGTAAACCACAGTCCTGATTTTAAAGCAGGCAGTATTTGTTTCCCAGACTGCCTTTATTTGTGTTTACAGAAGAGTCAGTTTGTGGTTCAGCCTCTGGTTGGCAGTGTTTCTTGATTGACCTCCAAGGCTTTAAGTTCTCTCTAGCCAGTGTTTTTGGAGAGCTGTTTCTGCCATAGAGCTGTTTCTTTGATTGTTACTCCCAGCTCTGATTCCCAGGTTCCACAAAAACAACTTTTCCCTGCAGTCTCTGTGAGTGACCCCAATTGGGCGATCCTATGTATTGGGTTTAATAATCAAATGCAAAGATTTAAGGGGGAGAGAGAGGAAAAAAAAGGGCCTGAGAAGGTGCTCGAACTCTAGCAACCCTCCACCGTCCAGCTCTATGTGCAGTCTCTTCTGCACATCCTCTCTCCCTTGGCACTAAGCAGCTGGTACACTGGCAAAACCCAAGGCTGCCTTTTTGCACCCAGTCCAGCTATGGGCTTATTTTTAGCGTTCCCTTCTGGCGGCAGCCCTGTGAGACCCCTTTCGCACTCACGGATCACGCTGGCCCCAATGGCCGCAGACCTTGTGGGGCACAGACTACCCCTGCATGCGTTCCTCTCTCCAACCTGAATTGCAAACCACACCCTTTATCAAGGCAAAATCTGACCTTTCCTTGAGGAGGAGCAGGGCTCCTCTGAGTCCACGTATTCGCGCTGCTTTAGATCCAGTGTTTCCGGGTCAGTAGACAATTCCTGGATGCTGTGGTTGAAGGTCGCTGGATGTATACGCTTCCGAAAACAGCCACTCTAGATGGCGCGGACTCAGCGGCTGAGCCAGCCATTCCGGGAGAGTTTTCAGCCGCCGTCTCCAACAGTCCCCTTTCTCTGGGAGTACTCTGCCTTTCCCGGCTGCAAACTGTCTCCCAGCTGAATTTCCTCTGCCTATTCGGGCTAGATGTTACTCGGTTCAGCTGCTCACCCTATCTGCTCCGGGACAAGGCACGGACACGTCCGTCTATACCGCCGCCATTTTCTCCTCCTCAGGAGTTTCTTATTTTCTCTTCATATTTCCTCATATTTATTGGCTTCTCAGAATCAAAATTTTAATGATTTATGTACAAATTATTTGATTAGTTATTATTTTTTAAATGTATCGTTATTGATTACAGAGAGGAAGGAAAAGAGAGAGAGAGAAACATCAATGAAGAAAGAAAATCATCGATTGGCTGCCTCCTGCCTGATCGGATATTGAGCCTTCAATCCATGTTTGTAACCTGACTTGGAACCAAACTGTGACCACCCAGTTCATAGATTGAAGCTCAACTATTGAGCCACTGCTTCCAGGCAAATTTTTTTTTCTCATCCTTTTTTTAAAATTATTTTTTAAAATCTTTATTGTTGAGGTTATTACAGATGTCCCTCTTCCCGCTCTCCTTGGTTCCCCTCCACCCGTTTCCCACCCCACCTCCAGCCCTCGCCCCACCCTATTGTACATATCCATAGGTACTGCATTCATGCATATAAGACTTTGTCTAAACTCTTCCCGCACCCCCCACAGCCCCTTCCCTCTGAGAATCGTCAGACTGTTCCATTTCCATGCCCTTGATTCTATTCATTCACCAGTTTATTCTGTTCATCAGATTTTTTATTCATTTGGCTTTTAGATTTACTTGTTAATAGATAGAATTTGTTCTCACTTTGTTGTTCATAATTTTTATCTTTATTTTTTTCTTCTCCTTCCTCTTCTTAAAGAATACCCTTCAGTATTTCATATAAGACTGGTGTGGTGGTGATGCACTCCTTTAGCTTTTTCTTGTCTGTGAAGCTCTTTATCTGACTTTCAATTCTGAATGATAGCTTTGCTGGGTAGAGTAATCTTGGTTGTAGGTTTTTGCTGTTCATCATTTGAATATTTCTTGCCACTCCTTTCTGGCCTACATAGTTTTTGTTGAGAAATTAGCTGACACTTGTGTGGGTACTCCCTTGTAGGTAACTAACTATTTTTGTTGCTGCTTTTAAGATTCTCTCTTTGTCTTTTGCCCTTGGCATTTTACTTATGATGTGTCTTGGTGTGGTCCTCTTTGGATTCCTCTTGTTTGGGGTTCTCTGCGCTTCCTGGACTTGTAAGTCTATTTCTTTCACCAGGTAGGGGAAGTTTTCTGTCATTAGTTCTTCAAATAGGTTTTCAATATCTTGCTCTCTTTCTTCTTCTGGCACCCCCATAATTCGGATGTTGGTATGCTTGAAGTTGTCCCAGAGGCTCCTTACACTATCTTCATATTTTTGTATTCTTTTTTTCTTTTTACTCTTACTGTTGGGTGGTTTTTGCTTCCTTGTATTTCTAATCATTGACTTGATTCTTGGGATCCTCTAGTCTACTGTTGAATCCTTATATATTATTCTTTATTATAGTCAGTGTATGCTTAATTTCTGACTGGTCCTTTTCCATTTTTTGGCATTGTCTTTAAGATCCTTGAAGGTCTCACTAAGTTCCTCAGAGGTTTCTAGAAGATTCTTGAGTAACCTTATAATTGTGGTTGTGAACTCTATATACCGTAGTTTGCTTTCTTCCATTTCTTTCATTTATGACATGTTTCTTTGTCTCGCATTTTGTCAGTTTTACTGTGTTTGTTTCTATGTACTAGGTAAGTGCTCAGTCTCCTTGAGTTGATAGCGTGGCCTTGTGTAGTTGGTGTCCTATCGGGCACAGTGGCTCAGCCTCCCCAATCACCTGAGGTGGACACTCTTGGTGCATCCCTTTGTGGGCTGTATGCACAGTGTTGTTGTAGTTGAGCCTTGATTGCTGTTGGTATCAGTGGTGGGAATTGACCTTCAGGCCAATTGGCTGTGGGGACAAGCTGTGACTACAATGGGAGAGCTGCTGTGCAGGAGATACCCATATGGGGCAGAACTCACTTCATTGGGGCTTTGATGCTCACAGAGTCTTCCCTTTGAGTGTGTCACTTATGAATGTGAAGAGTTGTAAACTGGTATGGTCTCACACTGACCACTGGGTACATTGGTGCAAAGTCAGCCACTGCGTGGCACCACCCAACAGGAGCTATGGAGAGATCTGTAAATTCCCCCTCTTCGTATCGGTTTGGAAGTGCCCAGAAGAGGCCCAGCTGTGAAGCAAGGCGGCTGATGCTGGTGCCAGTTTTTAGGTCCTTTTTTTGATAGCTTTGGTGCTCCCTGACCAGCTGTAGCTTGTTTGACAGGTTTTAGGCTGAGAAAGGACAGGCCTTTCATATGCAAAAGCCTCTGCTCACAGCTTGGGTGTGGTTATAAATTGGGTAAGGCAGGGTCTCAAGGAATCTCCAGGGCGGAGCAAAGAGCAATGGCTGCCAGTCAGTTCTTCACCTAGGAGGTCCCAGCATAGGAACAATGATCGCTGCAAGCACCTCTGTCCGGAAGAGAGCTGCCCCCGTGTTCCTGCCCCGATGCCAGACAGTCCAGTTTCTCCCGGTATGTGTCTGTGTGCCTCCCGAGTCTCGCACGGCACTGGAGCTCAGAGCAAGTGGAAGCTTGTACCTCCCTCCCAATTAAAAAAGTGGCACACCCTTGTGCCAGCCCGTTTCGCACCTCCTACCAGTCTCATTGCACTTTCTTCTTTACCTCTCTAGTTGTACTTTCACTCAGCCAGCTTTCCTGCCATTTGGATAGTTGTTTTGTAATTTTGATGTGGTTGTGGGAGGCAGCAGGTAACAGGTGTTTACCTAGGCCTCCATCTTGGTTCCTCTCTCCCAGGCAAATTCTTTGATGTTTTAAGTTATGATTCTACTGTATTTTTTAATTTGGCTATTCTGTTTTTCAACTCCCTTTTCAGGGTTGTGTTTGTAAGATACTCTCTCATTGTATTTTTATTTTGATTCTATAATATTTTGGTGATATTATTTAGTTCTATTTTTTTTCTCCTTTTTGGCTTTAAGATATTTAGTTCCATTCCTTTTTTAAAATATATTTTTATTGATTTCTGAAACAAAGTGAGGGGGAGAGAGATAGAAACATGAATGATGAGATAGAATCATTGATCGGCTCCCTCCTGCATGGCCCCCCTGTGGGTATCAAGTCTTTAACCAAGGCATGTACCTTTGACTGGATTTGAACCAGGGACCCTTCAGCCCACAGGCCGACACTCTATCCACTGAGCCAAACTTTTTCAGGTAAATAATATCTTTCTATTGACACAGTCCCAGTTTGTTTTTCTGATGGTACACTTTTTCTGATTCTGTGCATGACTTGATATGTTTTTGTTGAGATTCTGGAATTGTAAACAACCAGGCTTTTGAACATCCTTTCTATAGGAGGAAACAAATAATAACCATCTGTGGCAAAAATTCTACTTTCATTGCACATTGGTTTCAGTTCCTGTTTTCTTCGTACCATTGTCTGTTTAATTTCACAGTTGAAATGTTCTCTGTGTCTTTCTCAGACCCATGGTATCTTTTCAGGTTTGATTCACATCTTCAGTACTGCAGTTTGTGGTGCTCGAACAATTTATCATTGTCTCTTTATAGCAGCCACAACAGGGCACTCACTGTGTACTGCCATTCCATTCGCACTCTGTCATGCACAACAGACACATGTTCTTGAAGATGCCTCAATACAGTGAGATCATTGAACATGCACTTCCCTCATCTCTGTCTCCAGCAAAGAAACTGGGAATTGGAAGTGTTGTTATAATATTGCCATTGTGTGATAGGGGTTTGAGCAGGTATCGTTGGCATATGTAAGAAACTCTTTGCCCCTATTTGATGTGAGTTTTCTTCCTTGTACCTAGCTTGAGCTTTCTTTGAATTCTTCACTGGTTCTTAGAGTACTCCAAAATGTCATTTGGTCAATACTTGCTGTGCACTTACCTGATTGTCAAACCTGAAATTTTGTTTTCTTTCAGCTGTGCCACCTAAAGATAACCAAGCCTTTAGGCCAAAGCCCGGAATAGAAAATTTATTCCCTGAAATAATACTGGTAAGATATAAAAGGTTTCACTTTGATAATGTACACTTAATGAAAGTCTTGGAATTTGAGGAAGAGTGTGATGAGAAGAGAGGATTTTAATATGAACAGAACTAATCTGGAACAATTATCATAATAAATTTTTTGTTACCTAACAATGTCAGGTGTAGTATGGATTTGGGAAACCTCCCATATTAAAGTCAGTTACATTGGCAGATCATTGTGTTTCTGCACATGAAGATTGAAAACAACCTTTTACTGTTACCCAATCTTGGAAAGGAAATCTGGAAAGTCTAGTAACTCATGTAGTCTCTAGAGTAAATAATCATTTCAATTGTTTAAAAGGTAGGGTGGGATTAAACTTTCAATCATTTCTAAAATGTATAAATTTATAATGTATCTATATAATATAATGTGCTCAATTTGGCAATCTTGTATGGTTTTTTTAATTAAAAAATGTATTTTTATTGATTTCATGGAGTAAAGGACAGGAAAAGGGAGAGGAAAATATCAATGATGAGAGAGAATTATTCATTGGCTGCCTCCTGCATGCCTCCCACTGGGGACTGATCCCCAAGCTGGCCCATGGAATGGAACCGTGATCTTCTTATTTATACTTGGAAGCTCAACCACTGAGTCATGCTGGTTGAGCAGTTTGGCAATCTTTTAAACAAGGATTCATTCTTATTCCTCTAACAATTAAGATGTTGTATTTATATTCTGTCTATAATCTTATATAATAAAAGCCCAATATGCTAAGTGTTCCGTCATCCAGTCATCCATTCATCCAATCAAAACAATATGCTAATGATATGCTAAGCCCACTAACTGCTCACTATGATGTACACTGACCACCAGGGGGCAGACGCTCCAACCAGTAGGTTAGCTTGCTGCTCGGGTCAGGCCGATGAGGACTGAGCGAGATGAGCCAGACAGGCCCTGGAGCACTACCACAGGCCCTTCCTGATTGGACAACCTTTCACATCCCTCCCCGCCCCCGATCATGCACCAGTGGGGTCCCTCTGCCTGGCCTGCACCCTTTCAACAATCCAGGATGCCTCAGGGGATGTCGGAGAGTTGGTTTCTGCCCCATCCCGCAAAACATGAGAGCTGGCCCCTGGTGGTCAGTGCGTTCCCACAGGCAGAGCACTGCTCAGCCAGAAGCTGGGCTCACAGCTGGTGAGTGCAACTGGGGTGGCAGGAGTTTCTCCCACCTCCGTGTCAGCACTAAGATGTCTGACTGTTGGCTTACACCCATTACCTGAAAGGAGCAGACCTAAGTCGACAGTTGGATATCTCCAGAGGGCTTCCAGACTGCAAGAGGGTGCAGACTGGGCTGAGGGATCCACCCTAAGTGCACAATTTTTATGCACCAAGCCTCTAGTATTAATATATTATGAAAACTTTAATGAGTATCACAAAATGGTTCTCATAGATCTAGGATACATGTTTAATGTAATCATAACTCTCACTAAAGGTCTTTCTGTCTCCCATTATTACCAGAGTACACATAATGGAGCTAGCAATTATCAATGGATTGAACACTGGAACAACTTTAAGCAAGAGTCATATCTTAATCATCGGACAAGTGAGCTTGCAGAGGACCATCAGAAAAGTGGAAATGTCTTTGACCAAATGTCCAGTCACAATATACGTCAGGTTATTCGTATTGTGAAGAAGACACGCCAAGGAAATCAATGTGTCCATTCTTTTCAGCAGTCTTCAAATTACAGTGGGCAAGAGAATATTCATCCTGGGGAGGAGGCTTACAAATGGAATCTTTGCGGTAGAATCTCCAGTCAAATATACAATCTAAATGGACAGGAAACAATCCATAGTGGAGAAAAACCTTATAAATGTAAAGATTCTGGTAAAACATCTAATTGGCCTTCAGGTTGTACTCTAAAAAAGAGAATTCGTACTAGAGAGAAGTCTTACAAATGTAAAGCATGTGGGAAAGCCTTCCAATGTCGTTCGTCTCTTATTGTACATGAGGGAAGAATTCATGCTAATGCAAAATTTTACAAACTCAAGGAAAATGGAAAAGGCTTTAGTCAGTCCTCAAGACATACTCAACATCATAGAAATCACAGGGGAAAAAAGACTTATAACTGTTCAGAATGCGGCAAAGCCTTTAGCTTACCCTCCACCCTTATTCTTCATCAAAGAATTCACACTGGAGAGAAACCTTATAAATGTAGAGAATGTGGTAAAGCATTCCTCCGCGCCTCAAGCATGATTCGACATCGGAAAGTTCATACTGGAGAGAAACCTTACCAATGTAGCGAATGTTTGAAAGCCTTTAGACAGTCCTCCTCCCTTAATCGTCATCAGCTTATTCATACTGGAGAGAAGCCTTATAAATGTACAGAATGTGGCAAAGCGTTCATTGAGTCCGCAGCTCTTAATCGACATCGGAGAGTTCATACTGGAGAAAAGCCTTATAAATGTACAGAATGTGACAAAGCCTTTAGGCGTTCCTCAAGACTTCGAATTCATCAGAGAATTCACACTGGAGAGAAACCTTACAAATGTAGAGAATGTGGCAAATCCTTTATCAGCCATACAGGTCTTAATAATCATCAAGGTGTTCATAATGAAGATAAGCTTTATAAATGTAGAGAATGTGGTAGAGCATTCCTTCTTGCCTCAAATATGATTCGACATCAGAAAGTTCATACTGGAGAGAAACCTTACAAATGTAGAGAATGTGGCAAAGCCTTTAGTGATTCCTCCTCCCTTCATAGACATCAGACAATTCATACTGGTGAGAAGCTTTACAAATGTAGAGAATGTGGCAGAGCCTTTGGGCACTCCTCATCCCTTAGTTATCATCGTAGAGTTCATACTGGAGAGAGGCCTTACAAATGTAGAGAATGCGGCAAAGCCTTCAGGAAATCCCAAACTCTTACTGACCATCAGAAAACTCATACTGGAGAGAAGTGTCATGAATGTAGAGAATGTGGCAAAGTCTTTAGCCGGGCCTCAGAACTTACTTTGCATCAGAGAGTTCATACTGGAGAGAAGCCGTATAAATGTGAAGAATGTGGCAAAACCTTTAGACAGTCCTCACAACTTACTTTGCATCTGAGAGTTCATACGGGAGAGAAGCCGTATAAATGTAGAGAATGTGGGAAAAGATTCAGTGCGACACAGTCTCTTAATTATCATCAGAAAGTTCATACCAGGGAGAAGCCTTATAAATGTAGAGAATGTGGCAAAGGATTCAGTGCGGCACAGTCTCTTAATTATCACCAGACAATTCATACTGGGGAGAAGCCTTATAAATGTAGAGAATGTGGCAAAGGATTCAGTGTAGAAAAATCCCTTATTCATCATCAGAGAGTTCATACTGGAGAGAAGCCTTATCAATGTAATGAATGTGGCAAAGAGTTTAGGCGTTCCTCAAACTTGTCTAGGCATCAGAGATTTCATACTGGAGAGAAGCCTTATAAATGTAATGAATGTGGCAAAGCCTATGCCTATTCCTTATCCCTTTCTCGTCATCATAGTGTTCATAGTGGAGAGAAACCTTATAGGTGTAATGAATGCGGCAAAGCCTTCAGTGACTCCTCTACCTTAACACACCATCAAAGAGTTCATACTGGTGAGAAGCCTTATATGTGTAATGAATGCGGCAAAGCCTTCAGTGAGTCCTCTAAATTTACACGCCATCAAAGAATTCATAGTGGTGAGAAGCCTTACAAATGCAAACAATGTGGCAAAGCCTTTACCCGGTCCTCAAACCTTACTAATCATCAGAGAGTTCATGCTAGATAGAAGCCTCAGAAATGTAGATAATGTGGCAAAGTCTGCAGGCATTCCTCAGGCCTTCCTGCTCCTCAGATAACCCCTACTTGAGAGAGTCTTCATGAATGTAGAGACTGTGGCCACGCCTTTTGCCAGTCCTCACCCTTTAGTAAGCATCAGAGAGTTCACACTGGAGAGAAGCCTTACAAATGTAGAGAATGTGGCAAAGCCTGCAGGCATTACTCAGCCCTTATTTCCCATTTCAGAGTTCATACTGGAGAGAAGGCCTGTATGTGTCGAATTTGTGTGGAAAATGTGGCAAATCCTTTGACAACCCCTCAAAACTTTCTCCACATCAGAGAGTTCATACTGGAGAGAAGTATTAAAGATTTGAGGAGAGTCATAAGTCCTTTACCAGCAATTAGTACTTACCAAACTCACAGAATTCTAAATGGGAAGAAGCCTTCTGAATGTAAAACATGTAGAAAACCCATTAAAAAGCAATCTTTTATTGCTGTACATGAGAGACTTCATAGTAAAGAGAGAACTTAAAATTGTACAGTATGTGCAAGAGCCTGTACCCACAGCTCAACTTTACTGAATAACCAATGTTTATAGTGGAGGAAAGCCTTTCACTGTAGAAAATGTGAGAAAGCACTGACTGACATTTCTTGGTGGTTTAGCTTTGACCTATGAACCACAATGTCTGTGCAGTTCCCTGGCTGGGCATAAGCCCTGGTTGGAGACTCAATCTCCAGTGTGGGGCATACAGGAGCTAGCTGATCCATGATTCCCTCTGGTCATTGAAATTTCTATCGTTCCCTCTCTTTTCCTCTCTGAAATCAATAAAAATATATTTTGAAAAAAGAAAATGGGAGAAAAACTTGAGTCAGTGTTTATTCCTTTCTGTACATCAGAAAGTTTATATTGGAAAGAAACCTTGCAAATGTAATAATTGAGGTTAGTCCTTTTCTTCTCAATGGAGTCTTCTTTAACAACAGATAACTCATTGTGAAGGAAAGCCTTACATGTGTAGAATGAGGCACAACTTTTAATTATCCTAGTTGTCTTGTTCAACACAAGAAAACTCGTACTGGAGGGAACACATAAATATACCGTGAGTGACTTTGGTAAGCAGTGGGACTGCCTGCATTGTGAAGCTCCGTGGTAGAGCGTGGACCCATGAACTGGGAAGTCAGTGTTCATTTCCTGATCAAAGCTCATGCCCTGTTTGTTGGCTAGATCTCCAGTAGGGTGCACGCAAGAGGCAACTGATCGATGATTCTCTGTTGTTACTGCTGTTTCTCCCTCTGCCTTCTCAAATCCTATACCAGTGCCCTGACCGGTTTGGCTCAGTGGATAGAGTGTCGGCCTGCGGACTGAAGGGTCCCAGGTTCGATTCCAGTCAAGAGCATGTACCTTGGTTATGGCACATCCCCAGTAGGAGAGTGCAGTTCCTAGCATGTTCCAACCAAAGGACTGACAAAATCATTACAGAAACAAGATGTTCAATATTCTTATTCTTTCTGACATACCCATGGAGCATTTGTATGTATATGTGTCTCCTGATATTTTGTGACTATGGCTCATCTGGACCAGGGCTTTATGAATTTGTTCTGTTACACACATACTATGGATCCAGATCATTCATAGAATTCAATCTTATCTAGACAATAGTTCCATTTTCTGGTACTGTAGTGAAGAATGAATGTTGAGGTGTATTTATACTAAATACACATAAGATGTTTGTGTGTGTGTTTGTGTTTCACGTGGCCATTAGGTAAATAGACTAAGCAGACACTGTTCCTTGGGTTAGAGGGCAGAATGTCTTCATTTTGTCCAGATGCATATTCTTCTGCTTTGGGGTGAAAAGCTCCAAGCCAGACATTTCAACACTTTTTAATCTCATGGTACTTGTGAACTAATTATTGATATTCAGTGGTCCACCAAAATATATATTTTGCTAGTCTGCCAAAAAAATGTCTGATTTTGATCCATTCACACCACACAGCTATTACAGTGTTGGCTATTGTCACTTACTTTATTCGACAATCTATGGGTATTGTAGTCTGTGCTATTAAACAGTCACTGTTGCTTGTGAAAATTCTCACAGCACACCAGTTTGCCTGTGTGACACTCCAGTTGATAATCACTGCTGTATACATATCCAATCCAATCCATATTGTCTAATGTGTCATTTAAGACCACATTTTCCTTACTGATTTTTTTCTCTGTAAGATGCATCCGTTGATGTCAATGGGAAATTAAAGTCCCCTACTGTTACTCTGTTACTTATTTTACAAATGTCAAAAACTATATACTGATCACTTTCTGTATCTGAAGGCCACCACACGGGCCTTCCCTGCCTTAGCCAGGTTAGCATGTGGCCCCTTTTGGTCCACACCCAACTCCCAGGAGGCCTCTAAAGCCACCAGGGCTTCAGGCCTGGGATCCTTCCCTGCTGACCCCCGCCACCCACCCATTCAGTAAGAGCCTTGAAGGGAGCATTTCAGATTTGCTTCCAGCTTGTCATCGGTTTGTTTCAAATGCTCTCTTACACAAATTTTCTAAAAAATAACGAGCCTGTTTCCATGGGGTGGGACTTAAAGGGAAAAATGCAGTTTCCCCAGAAGGGGTCACCTGCCCCGTAGGGAGGGGCTTTGTGGAGTGGTCACTGCGCAGGGGTGGGGAACCAGGCTGGGAGGTGTCAGGAGAGGGAGTAAGAAAGACCGGTGGGAGGGAGAAAAGGTGATTGAGGGGTCTCTAGTGAGGGGGTCACTCGGGAAAGTAGCCTGAGGAGGAAGGAAGTGGAGAAATGGGGAGGAGGGGGAGCCCAGAGAGGAAGGGGGGCTGAGAGGGAGAGGGTCCCGGTGAGCAGAAGTGGGGGCCACACAGGAGGAGGCACTTGAGACAGAGACACGTTCAGAGGAGAAGAGTTGGGGGAGCGAGTTCAGGGACAGAAAGGGGGGCTCAGGGATGAGGGAGCGGAGGGAGAGCAGCCCTGAGTCAGCCAGGTGTGGGGAGCAGGACAGAGGGTAACAGACAGCAGATGGGACACAGCCTGGGGAGGGAACTACATATGGAAATAAATATCAGAGTTCTACTCATTAGAGAAAAATTACAAACAAGCAATTAAAGAACTTTTGGCCGGATGAATGTTCACAGCATCAGGAATTCATACTGGGGATGTTGTTAAAATATAGTGAATTTGCCTAAGTAACCTACCGTTAAGCAGTACTAACCATCAATCAATATACATCTAAGAGAAATCGTTTTTATATATATTTTATTGATTTTTCACAGAGAGGAAGTGAGAGAGATAGAGAGCTAGAAACATCGATCAGCTGCCTCCTGCACACCTCCTCCTGGAGATGTGCCCGCAACCAAGGTACATGCCCTTGACCGAAATCGAACCTGGGACCTTTCAGTCCGCAGGCCGACGCTCTATCCACTGAGCCAAACCGATTACGGCTAAGAGAAATCTTTTTTAAGAAATATATATTTTATTGATTTTTTTTACAGAGAGGAAGGGAGAGAGATAGTTAGAAACATCGATCAGCTGCCCCCTGCACACCCCCAACTAGAGATGTGCCCGCAACCAAGGTACCTGCCTTTGACCAGAATAGAACCTGGGACCTTTCAGTCCACAGGCCAACACTCTATCCTCTGAGCCAAACCAGTTAGGGCTCTAAGTCAGTGGTTCTCAACCTTCTGGCCTTTAAATACAGTACCTCATGTTGTGACCCCCAACCATAAAATTATTTTCATTGCTACTTCATAATTGTAATGTTGCTACTGTTATGTATCATAATATAAATATCTGATATGCAGGATGGTCTTAGGCGACCCCTGTGAAAGGGTCGTTTGACTGCCAAAGAGGTCGCGACCCACAGGTTGAGAACCACTCCAAGTGAAATCTTAAAGATACAATGTGCGTGTAGCAAAGATTTTGTCAAAAATTGAATTCATGTATGTCCCCCTAATATTAACTGTGGAAAGCAATGTTACAAATATTAAGAGTAATGATGTGCTTAATTCAAAGACTTTGAACAAGGAGGGGCTGACCTTCTCGCACCTGCCCGCGCGGCCTCTGTCCCTGCACTTTGTCTTGGCTCTGGGGCTCCTCACCTCCCCCTCGCTCAGCTCA